GCTCAAATATTTCCTGTTATATCAGTATACTGTCTTCACGAAAGACAGTATTCATATAGAGGAAATGTTATTAACTTTTCCCAAAATGTGTATGAGTTTGTAACACGTCTTCCTTGTCATCCATTATCATTAAATATTCTTGTTATGCGTTGGCAGTTTGCAAATGAACCAGAATTCAGAAATTTTATTGTTCGTTGTTCTAAAATTGCTGGGGCACTTTCATGGTTAAAATCAAATAATTATTATTATACTAACATTAATATTGACAATGAAGAAGTACTTCAATTATTACCTGATAATGGTTCTATTGACGATTATTTTGCACAGGTCCAAACTACAGAAAATGAATTAAATGATGATGAAAATGACAATGAAAATATAATTACACGTAACTTTGTTCCAGTTTCACACCCATCAAATTGTAAAGAGGATGCTATTAATGATGCTCTTTCTAGAGTGCAAGCCAGAGACACAACAACCGCATGGCCAAACATTGATAGCAATCCAATTAATGAATTCCAGACTCCTGGATACATTGTATGTACTTTTCCAACTTTATATCCTTACAGAAAAGCCAATCTTCGGTTGGAGCATTTAAGAGACATAAAACCTGCTGAATATTTTCAACATATACTAAAATTCAAAGATAGTAGATTTGGATGTCATCCTCGTTGGAAATATTTTGCTCTAAATTCGCAGATGCAATAGAGAGCACTACAGGAAAGAAGAATGTATATTAAGCAATGTTTAAATAGAAAACAAATTACTGTCGAAGAGGTTAAAGAGATGATTGAAGAAAATTCTCGTCTGGCCGATCAAGTTGTAAGGTTTGGAAAAGGTTTATGTGGGACCCGACAATTTTGGATTAAACAGTGACTTGAATTGACAAATATGATTAAACAGTTGAGAATGCAAGAACTCATATTTTTCACATTCAGTGTAGCAGATCTACACTGGCCAGAGCTTCATAACCTTATGCTACATGATGAGAATATAATAGAAGAATCAGATCAAGAAGCAGCTAAACGTCGACAGAAGAACCATATCAATAATCCTCATATAGCTGCATAGTTCTTTGAAAATTGGTTTAAATCTTTTTTAGAAAAAGTACTAATTCCTAAGTAGAATTTAGAAGATTGGTGGTATAGGTTTGAGTGGCAACATCATGGTAGTACTCATATACATGGTATTGGAAAGCAAAAAAATGCACCAGTCATTGAGTGGGTGAAAATGCAAGAAGACAATGATATAATGGTTAGAGTGGTCCAATACTTAGATTCCCTAATCACTACAGTTAATCCAGATATTGACGCCCCTATACCTGATCATTACCTCTGCCAGAAGCGTAATAATGAGATAAGTAATGACTTTCAGAATTATATTGAGCTAGTCAATAAATTGCAACGTCATACAAGATGTAGTACCTCATATTGTATTCGTACCAATCATAAAGGTGAACAGTCTTGTAGGTTCAGATATCCAAAAGAAATTGTAGAGCATACCTTCATTCGTGAAGACAATTATGGCCATCTGGAACTTGTCACAACAAGGAATGACCTATATATAAACCCACATGATAAACTTCAGCTATAAGGATGGTAGGTGAATATAGATTTGAAACCAGTTCTTAGTACACATGCTGCTCTTCAATACATATCTAAATATGCTAGTAAATCTGAACCCTGATCTGAAGCATTTTCAGATATACTTGACTGTATCCTGTGCAACAGTAATCCTGATGATTCATCACTTGCTTCATTTCAGAAGTTACTTCTTTATACGGTTGCAGAGCAGGATATCTCTGTGCAAGAAACTTGTCATCTGCTTCTTGGCATCCCACTCTACCATTCTAGTCGGCAGTTTGTTTCCTTGAATCTCAATAAAGATATGCCGCAATTGCTTTGTAGTACTGGAAGTGAAGATATTTTTTCTAATAACGAAGTTGAACAAACTGTGAAGTCGCTCTTACAAAAGTATTGGGATAGGCTTAGTGAACTTGAAAATATTTTACTCTATCAGCTCTACTTAAAATATAAGTTGTTTAATAGTAGGTGGAATATATGCAAAAATAAAAACATTGTACACATTTGGCTACGTTCTTCACTACAACGTAATGGGCTTCAATGGGAAGAATTTTGTCACATAAAAGTTCTTCTTCATGTTTGTCACCAAAGCCTTGAGTAGCTTACTATGAATGATACAATTTCTTGGTCAGACCTTTTTGAGCAACATATTACAGAGATTGATAATGACTATGCTGATTTATTAGGCTCACCTGTAGATAATGTGGAAGATGAAGTTAGTAAAGTTGATGATGAACAGCTAGATGATGACAAATTTGAAAACAAAATACGATCTAAATAAATGTTTTTAGCTGAAATAGGCCTAAATACAGCTATTAATAAAAATTCAAATTTAGGTTCACATGCAATGGATAGGAACTATGATTGGATTACAGACAGTAGACAACATTATCCCAATCTAAATCTAGAAGATGTGTCGATTTTTCTGCAGTAAGTTAGAAATAAAGAATTTTTAAATTCTGAAATTCAAGTTACAAATACAGTAGATTTTCAGATATTAAATGAAAAACAGATGAGAATATTTAAAAGAATTGAGGAACATTATATTGCTAAAATTGGAGATAACAGAGGTATTGAAGCTCTTAGAATAATAATTATGAGAACAGCAGAAACAGGTAAATTGTATCTGATTAAAGCAATTGTAGCTTGACTTATTGAATTAGCAACGAATCATAATGCTAATAACAAATCACCTGTCTTCATGCTCACACCAACTGGAGTCACAGCATACAATATTCATGAATGCACAATTCATTCTACACTCTTTATTCCTGTAAATTGTAATAAATTTGATATAAGTGGCGAATGATTAAAGCAATTACAAAACAAATTACAGGGCGTAGAATATTTTATCATTGATGAAAAAAGCATGGTCAGACAATGAATACTTGCTCTCATTAACATGCGGTTATGCCAAGCCTTTCCAAAACAAAGAAATCAACTATTTGGTGGTCATTCTGTCATCCTTATTGGTGATTTTGGACAACTCCCACTAGTTCTTGATGACCAGGACCCCGAAGAACTCTGATGTAACTCATATGTTACCAAAAAAGGAAATTTTGCATAGAAAATCATCAAACATTGCTTTTTTATATAGTAAATTTTTAAATTTTGCTCTATTTTATACATCTATTTGGCCAAATTTATATGAACTTTATACAAACTTAGATATAAATTGTATCAGAGTTCTTCGGGTCCTTGATGACCCCATGTATGTATCTACTCTCCAACGTGATTCACTATCAAATAATGGTATTATTGCATACAAACAATTTTTAGAGGTGTATAAGCTTGACGTTGTTCAATGTCAATCTGGAAACTCAGAAGAGCAATGTGTTTTCAGAAGTATCTTGCTATGTCTATGTGATGGAGAGTCCATGGTAGATGACTGGAGAGTACTTACTACACATTTTGCAGATTCAGCTAGTGTGAATAATAATCAATTTTTAGATGCAACAAGCATTTTATCTAGAAAGATTGATGTTGATGAGGTTAATTTTAATAAATTAAGATCTTTAAACAGCCCTATCGTCAAAATTAAGGCTATTTATCTAGCAGGTGGTCGTGAAATATCCAAGGCTGACTCTAATATAGCAAAAGGTCTTGAGCCTTATTTGTTATTAGCTCAAAATGCATGCATCATGCTAAGAGCTAACCTTTAGATAGAAGCAGGGTTAGTTAATGGTTCTATGGGGATTGTACACGAAATTTTGTTTGAAGAAAGAAAGTGCCCACTATATCTTCCAAAAGCTGTCCTTATTGAATTTGATGATTACGCTGGGCTAGCTATCATAACTACTACAGAAGGCAAAAAACTTGTTTCTATAATACCAATTCAGCAAACCTGGGAATCAAAAAATATAATTTGTTCATGTCTACAACTTCCTATTTGCTTTGCGTGGGTGGTTACAGTACATAAGAGCCAAGGATTAACAATTTCAAAGACTAAAGTAGATCTTGGTAAAAGAGAGTATGCTGCAGGGCTTTCTTTTGTAGCTATATCTAGAGTTCATGCTTTTAACGATCTTATCTTTTGTCCATTTTCTCTTAAGAGGCTTCAACATATAAAAAAGTTAAAAAGATTGCAAGATCGAAAAGATGAGGAGAAATGACTAATTTTCCTAATAAAAGAATTCTGAAATTATGGATTTTACTTTTTTTATAAAATGTTCTAATACAAAAATGCGAATTTTATAGCTAGCATTTCCCATATAAAACAAAAGTTGGATTAAGTGTGCTCTTATACAGAGAAAAAAAAGAAAAAAATAACTTTAGTGGTAAGTGTGTAATGTATATATGTATACAAAAAAATAAGATATAAGACGACATGCATACATACGTGTGATAAAAAAAATTATCTTGAATAGATAATCATTGTGTTACAATGGATGGACAGACAGACAAAATTAAAGTGTGAGGTCTAGTATGTACGAAAAAAGGGAGATGGTATTGGGTAGATTATGTAGCACAAATCACGGGTTGGACAGACAGACAGAATTCAAGTCTGCACTCTAGTACGTATGTATGTACACATATGATGCTATTGGGTAGATCGTGTAGTACAATGCACGGGATAGACAGGCAGACAGTACATACAGGCAAATAGCGGTGCTATTGGGTAGATCAAGTAATACAAAGTCACATGGGCGGACAGACAGACAAAAGTTTGCTTATGTGCAGAGAATGTGGGTCCTCCGCTTCGCTCCGGACAATAATTAGCCCGCCAAAAATTTTTTGATCGATTTGATTGGTCAATATTCATGCATGGATCGACGTAATTAACCAATCACATGTTAGGTTTCCTACGCACGTGACATTGTTACAAAAGCGATCCCACAGAAGGTGGTCATAGCGGTAACTGTATTATTGTGTATATTATATAATAGCAGATTACATAAAGCCCCTTTGTCAGACAAAATGTCTACTTCTTTAAAAGGAGTTTACTTTTGGTCGGTTACAAAGTTTCTTACCAGAGCAGTGAAGTGCATTAACGAGCCCCCCTATGCTCTCATAATCTTAAATCAGCCTATTTCGCGTCGAAATAATGTTTTCCATACACTTTGGGAAAACGGTATGTTAAACCAAGGTTTATCAAGATCAAAATACATGTTCCACTCATTGTTTTTCATTATGTAAATATAAGCAAACTTAAAGATTTGTGCAGACGGCGGCGGGAACCAGCTGCATGAAGCTTTTGAGGGAACTGATAAGCAACAAATGTTGGTGATACTATTTTATTCATTATTGAGTTATAATGGTGCGGTGTTTAACATATGATATGACCACTTACAGGTATATCCCTCATTATATCATGGGAGACTTAGACTCTTTGAAAGATGACGTCAGGGATTTTTATATTTCTAAAGTAAGCAAACTTTCAGTCTATTCTTTTAATAAATATAATACTGAACAAAAAGCTCCTTAATAAGGGTGCTAAGGTTGAACAGGATCCGGATCAAAATTCTACAGATTTCATGAAATGTATTGAACTTGTCCGTAGAAAGGAAAGAGAATCTTCTGTAAAGGTATGATGGTTTATTTTAATACCTTGTATTCTGCCCGTCCATTAAAACTATATATTCTTGTTTATAGCACGAGATAGTTGCTCTTGGTGCATTTGGAGGTAGAGTGGATCAAGCAATGTCAACTATTCATTACTTATATAAGCTGAAAAATGAGAGAAGGATTTACCTATTATCAGATCAAAATATGACTATTTTGCTAGACAAAGTACGATTTGTTAATTTTGCATTACTTCGAATAATCTGAAAACTAATATTGCTATTTTTGCTCATTTGAAGGGAAAGCATCAAATACATTGTAATCAGGCTATTGAGGGCCCAACTTGTGGAATAATACCTATTGGCATCGAAAGAGCTATTGTGACAACAACGGGGTTAGAGTGGAATCTCAGTATGTCATTTTCGTCATTCAAATCCTATTCGTTTCACGAGTTTTATCAAATCTGATAGTAATTTTGTTATAGCGAATAGTTCCACCTCGTTTGGTGAAATGATTAGTACATCTAACCATTTAATTAATGATATTGTAATGATCGAAACCGATTCACCCATTTTATGGACAGTTGAATTGAAAATCTGATTACTGTTTGCCATTGTATATAATACCCGGGTCTTATTCAAGAACTCATATTTTAGAATTGAATAATTACCCAGGTACTTTATATAGAACTGGTATTATAATTGGGTTATATTATATGGAAATAGTAAATTAATAGCTATACCCTTCGGGTATAATCAAGGGTTGGCCTGCATAGATGATGTAAAGTACATTAATTACGGTGAGTACTATTTTACGGGAGTATTATATGCAGTGGGCGGCATTATTCAGTAATAATGATAGGAATTTCTTTACTTTTAAATTTGATGTAAAATGCGTGATTTATATAAACGATTAGAGTTTAGGACATTTCATTTTTAAGATTTGGTTTTGAAATAGGGTTTAGACCGAAACGTTGCCCAAAGCATTATCGATGGGTTTCTAAAAGAAAAGCATTCATTGTTTACCGATTTTTAAAAATAGTTCATTTTAAGATTAGTTGTAAATTACATACCAATTCTCCCTGTTTACCAGATTCCCATTTTGCGAACTTAAGCCCTTGTTCATCCCGCCTTTGTGCTATTAGCCGTTGTTCTTCTTTCAAGGCATTGCGGACTACACGGGCACATATTTGAGTATATTTTAAGTAGCTATGTTTATATATAAATTAGATCACTTTTGTACTTAATACTACTTAAACATACTTTTAATTATTTTGCTATTGAAACAAACCTAATACCGGCAGCTTTCCAAGCAAAGCTCATTGTATAAAATTTTAATTGACGAGATTAGGCGTCGCACAATAGCGGACATTTTCATTCTCATTTTACGGAAAATCACGGATACGTAGCATCTTGTGTAATATTTTATTTGTAGCTCCGTATGGTTGTAGATCCCGTGATAATTACCCAATCAAAATGCGTGGTTTTTAAGATTTATCGTAACGAAAAAATCTTCACATAAAGAAGCTTACAACTAATAAATGCACGTAAAAAAAGAATTTGTCATATAATTAGAAAATAGATAGATACGTAAATTGATACTTATTACTAATAAACCCAAACTCAAGCAGACCAAAAAATTCAGTGCGAATAAATTATTAGCGAAACTGTTATTGTAATTGCTAATTCGTTTAAGATGGATAGTATTTCATATGCGCAAATTACTATTAAATTTATCTTCATTTTCTCCATAGCTATTTTTAATTTTCTAGCAAAATATGTCATATAGGCTATTATGTATAATAATGCAAGATAGAGAACCAAAAATTTTTGATACACGTAGTGGGACAGGTTATTTGACAATACAATTGCTAAATGGCTGAGGCGGAAGGTTTATTTTGACCATTTACTCATAACAATAACAAAGTCAAACAGCGTGCCTTAGTAGGCCAGGCTAATAATTAGATGATAATTTAATAGGTTTTATACATATTCATTAAATCCTTCTTATAGAATTATGCAGAATAGACCTTCATTAAATCAAAACAATTAATTATCAATAAGAGTTTGGTGACTCTATTCAGGGCTTAATAATTGTAAATTAGCCGAAAACATTTTTAAATAGTAAATTTTTTTAGAATATTTTTAATTTACACCACAAGTGATTATTACCTGTAGTTAATTTGCCAATTAAAATTCAGAATCAGGTGTAACATGTAAAGCAATTTTGTGTAACATTAGCAAAATATATAAATGAAAACTTATGAAAGTTATTACGGCCTGAAATATTTCGAAATAATCATGAATGATGTGGCATATTTCAGAATTTTCAATTACAAAATAATACAAAATAATACGAAATTTATTTATTTGTTTTTTTTTTTTTAACTTTGGCAATTATGCTAATACTTTATTAAGTATAAAACTCACATATTTATTTTATATTTATTTCATAAGTGAGCTAACTTTAACACTGGGCTAAACATGTTACTCCTAAAATTCCAAGTATTGGCTTACCTGGCTCTTTGCGACAAGAGTCTTCTATAACAAAAGTTCAAATTACCCATGTGCATTCTGCTATAATAAAATTTTCTTTCAATACTAAACCCTCCTACTAACAAAGAAATCTAATATATCACTAAGTGGCATTTATGGCCATCATGATTGCCTTCTCTTTTTTGAACTTTAAATCTTCTCCTCCTAACTTCCCGAGTAGAAAGAAATACTTCTAACTACTTAATGAAAAAACTTCAAGATCAAAAAAAAAAGGGAAGTTTAAAACCAAAAAGAGAAAATACCTAAACAAATACCACAAAAACAAGTATTTAACAGAAAGTTAAAGCCAATTACTCTTTCCAACGATTATCTGTACCAAAAAACCCAAATATATTTTTTGTAAAAAACACAATAGTATTTAGTAAAACGCAGAGGGTACACTAGTAGCTATAAGTCAGCAGTTGTTATTTAGAGGTAGTTTTCATATACTACCTGCTAACTTCTTCAAAGTTTATTACTTACTGCAAGCATGGCACTTGTTTAGAAGTAGTTTTCATATGCTACTTGCCAACAAGCCCAGAGTTTATCACTTACCAAAAAGAAAGTATAGGTGCCCACCCCTTTCTTAGAAGAAAATTTAGGAGTTGTTGAGTCTTTACATGGATGTAATTACTTTTCTTGGGTGCAAGTGGTCTCTCCCTAGGTGTTTTTTGCTTGGCCAGTTTTCTCCAAAATTTTCAACAAAAAGTGAGCAATTTGGTTTACCCTCTCCAAAAAATTGGCATTGTTTATCTTCCAAATTCAGGCATACCCAGAAATACAACCATGTGTCTTGTTTATCAGTGGATATAATATGCGACATAGTCTATGGATATAGGTTCTTCATGTGATTGGGATCAGGTCTCTGGCATAAAAGGCATTTGAAGATGGCCAGTAGTCAGATAAAAATTTGTTAGATTTTATAATCAAGATATACAAACATTGCAGTTGTTATAAAATTTTTTTTTAAATCTGGCACAGGTTATAATAGTATACTTTTCTTTTTTCTTTCATTTTATTTGTACTATTTCTTGATAGAGGTGGTTCTCTCTTTGTTGACCCTTGGGCTTTTCTCTTTGTTTTTCTTTTTTTACATTTCATTGTACCCCTTTTATTGTTTTTTTTTGAAAATTCT